TGAGGAGAATGATTTTTTTTTTTAAATAAAAAAAAAAATTATTTGAATGAATAAGAGAATTCTTTTGTTCAAATAAAAAATATACAGTCGTACCTCCTTATAGTCACACAGTTGGGCACTTAGTGACTTCAAAGCAATGTGCTTATAAAGAGGTATTACTATAACTGTGATTATGTAGAGGGATTTTCTTAGAATTTAAACATCCAAAATTTAAAATGTGTGACTATACATATGATGTGCTTATATAGAGGGTGACTTTATGGAGGTACGACTGTATATATATTTTTAATTACCGTAACTAAATCCCATTCCATGTACTATTGATGGAAGAAATAATTGGTAAGAAGAAACTGATATCGAAGCTACAAATAGTTGTATCATAGCCAAATAAACTTTCTAAAAATAAATAATTAATTAATTAAAAAGAGAATGTCACTTACAAATATTAATTTAAGGAATGAAACTTTACATAATCTGTGAATGCGGCGTAAATGTGCGCTCTATCATAATGTAATATATGAGCTTTTCCTATATCATGTTTTAATCGTTCAGTAGCATATTTACGCTCTTTATCAGTAAGCCATCTGGATTTTTCAGGGCAATCAGAAATAAAGAAATAAGCACATATAGCGACAACAACCGTTATTAATCCTTCAACTAAAAATAACTGTTAAAAGATCTTATCAGTAAATACCGCGATAAAAATAAACAGTTCTGACAATATATGATAATACGTACCCACTGCCATCCTTCTAGGTTAAGTTTTCCTTCTAATTGTATAAGAGAAAATGCTAATAAACCGCTAAAGGAACCAGCAAAGCTATTTCCAATAGATAAATAAGCTATACGGGCATTTTGTTCTGATCGTTTGTACCACGTAGCTAAATAATAAACTGCGCCTGGAGATAAGCCCGCCTCACAGGCTCCCAAAAAAAATCTTGCCGATATTAATCCCTCAAAATTTTTTACCTAAAATAAAATTTATAATTTAGATTTTAAAATTTAACAATTAATTTATTTTCCTTGCGTTCGTTAGTATTTGAAACTTACAAATGCCATGAGAGTTACTATAACTCCCCACGAAAACATTATAAAAGAAACTAAAATACGAAATGAGATTAAGAAAATTTTTTTCAAAGATGATTTAATGAAATAATAAAATATTTATTACTCCACAAAAATGCACTTGTCTTGATAAGTGCTATATTCGAAGGAACTTCAAATATAATATATCCTCTACAGAAAAGAATTTATATTATTATTTTTTTTATTAGCCAATTTTACATCATGTGACATATTTTTAAATTTTGCACCCGTAGTTTACTTACATAAAGAAAACGCTTAGACACCAATTAAATTCAGATCCGACCAATCCAAGATCCTTTTCCATATTTGACAATTTCGCATTTCCAATGTTTACTCTGATAAAAATTTAAAAATTAGCAGGGACGTTGATGTTGTTTTTTACATGGATTATTTGTAAAAAATTTCGTTGTTTCATTTTTACCTGTCCAAGAAACTTAAGAAATATAACAAAATTAATAAAGGCATAATTCTAAAGTCCATCCTTCGTACTAATTTCTTTTCAAATTCTTTATCTTCAACAAATTTCTCATCGATACCAGTAACAATGGTTCCATCTTTTGAATCTGACATCGTTGTTGTTAACAAAGTCGTTTTTTTTTTGGCTACGATAGTTGCGGTATGATTTTTTTTATCTTGTTTTTCATGGTTTATTTATAATGATTTTTTATTATTGCTGACCAAAAGTTTAATAAATTAATTATTTAGGTTTAAACTACGGGTTTTTATCATTCCGGTTTTTCATGACAGATCATAGCTCTGATGATTTTTGTTCTAGTATTAAAAAAGTCCAACTCCGTAATGTGTTAGAACTTAGAATGCTGTGATATCGAAGGGTGAGAATTTATTCTTAAAGGAGGAGATTTTTGATTTTGTGTTTGCAAGGTTCAGGGCCCAATGTTTTTTTTTTTGAACAATAGAAATTTAAAATAAAACAATACTAATTTTAGCAAAAAATTCTTTTTTATATCTAGATGTGATAAAAGAATCCTTTAATTATTTTGTCGATTTACTTTATTAATTTGTGCGAATAGCAATTATGATAAATAGATCATAAAGGGAAACCTATATGGGTCATTGGACTAGCAAAATGTACCACCGGAAATATCTCACTTTTTTGAGAAATTCACTGATAAACATAACATTACTTTATTTATTAACCCCGAAATTTTAAATTTATTTTTAGTATAAGATAATGAATTTATGCGAAAGGCTATCAATAATTGACATTGTTAAATCACACCGGTGGTGTTTAACATCACTGATAATCAACCAATATAAATACAGAATAAAATAATTTAACACATGATTTTTTAATTTAATAAAATAAATATGTAATATCAATTACTATACTATATTATAATATATTATAAATTTTAATATGATATATATAAATTTGTTAATATCATCTTGAAATTAACTGAAAATGATCTTCTCTTTTGCTAAACATATTCATAAATTGTGTGATTTTTATTACATATCACACATTCTCTTATTACTAGTTTTATCATATTTGATTTATTATCTTAAAGTATTTTTTTGAAGCTTTCTATGTGAAATTTTATTATTAATATTATTTCTTTATTGTTTTGATCAGATTCAGCTACTTTTTTTTTTACCTTTATAATCTATGTTTATATAACTAAAATTTTTAGGCTTTTGACCTTTTGTTTTGATACCAATAAGATTATTAATAGTAGATGCAAACTCAACAATATTATTATTATTATTAATTTTTCCAATGATTTAACTTCCATTTTTTTGGTTAACTTTAAATGAATTTCATAAAATTCTTCTATTCTACTTATTAACAATAGTCAAATTAAGAGATTTTATAATATTAAATCCTTTTCTATATTGTTGCTTTGAGTCATCTTTACAAACCTTTTTAGTAAAAATAAAATTGTTTCAGATTGTATCTAAATATAATAATATATTCTATTATTCTGAATTACTAATTTAAAATTATTAAAATAATTGATTTGTAATAAAAAATTGAAACTGTATCTATAATTAATAAATCTATATATCAACATTATTATATAAGTCTAATATAAATTTAGCATTTGATAATATTAACATTATCATAAAAAAATAATAACATATAATATTATAGTTAATCAAATTAAATATATGCAAAAATGCATAATATTATCATACAATACTATAAAATATTTACTCTTTTTATTAATAGAAAAAATATGTCATAATTTATGAATTCTTGAAAAATCAAAATTTGTAATCAGTTAATCAGGATTAATTATATAAGTATTGAATAAATCCTCTGAAATATATCTTTTGGTGAATTTGAGATAGCTTAATAAAAAAATAAAAATTGGTGTCAATATGGTAAAATTAAAAAAAAAGAAAATTAGTTTAATATAAATTACATATAATTATATTATTTAGTTATAAACAGTTTAGATTAGATTATTTAGTAATAAATAATCTAAGTATGATTAAATAAACTAAAAACAGTCAACTCTTGATTATAGCGAACTTTTAATATAATGAATTTTTGAATAAATATAATAAAAATACTCTTGTTATAGCGAATTGGCCAATCA